TTACAGAAGAAAGGGTTTATTTGGGCTTATGGCCCCAGAGGGCTGAGTCCATCCTGGCTGGGAATTGGGGCAGCAGGCAGAAGAACAGTTGAGAGGTGAGAGTTTACATCTTGAGCTGCAAGCACAAAACAGAGAATGAATTGGGAATTGGCTTTCAAGCCTCAAAGCCTGCCTGCCTGCCAGTGTCTTACTTCCTTCAGCAGTACCATACCTCCTAAACCAACTCAAACAGCGCCACCAACTGGAGACTAGGCATCCAAACACCTGACCCTACAGAGGACATTTTACCCAAACCACCACAGACACCACAAGAAAACTAAGCCATTTGGTTTGGCTTACTTGGTTCTATATGTGGGGAGTGTGGTGGTTTGAACAAGAATGGCCCCCACAGACTCATAGATTTGAACGCTTGGTCATCAGGGTGTGGCGCTGTTAGGGGGTGTGGCCTTGTTGGAGGAAGTGTGTCACTGGGGGCGTGCTTCCTTTTTGCAAAAAGCCCAAACTGAGTCAGGTAAAGAAGGGGGATGCCAATGGGTCACATTCCAATTTTTTAAAAGGCAAATCGGTGCACTACACACACAAGACAGAAGGAAGCTGCTCCGCGGGTCCAGCTGCTACACGGCCTCAGTTCCTGCCGCTGAGCGATCCTCTTCCCAAGAGTGGGGGGTACCTCAACCGAGCCGTAAGTGGCTCACTGCCAGTTTGTCCGCCTTCCAAGAGACCATCCTTCGCCCCGCCCTGGCGTTATATTCAACACTCCCTCAGAGAAGACCACGCCCATCGGGCTGAGCTGCCCCAATACAATCGGCTGTCAGATCGAATTTCCACAACAGTCCAGTGGCTCTCTCTCTCTCCCTGCTGCCTACTCACACGGATGTAGAACTTCTCCATCACTGTGTCTGCCTGTGTGCCATGCTGATAATGGACTAAACCTCTAACTGTAAGCAAACCCCAACGAAATACTTTCCTTGCTAAGAGTTTCCGTGGCCACGGTGACTCTTCACAGCAACAGAACATAGACTAAGACAGGAGTACCTGTGGCTTTTGGAGAAGCCTTCAGTCTGGTTGTCAGGATCAGAGGTACAAACTTTTAAATGTTTGGGGTCATGTTTTAAGTAAGTTACATTCACATAAAAGCTATTTTGCTTTAATAGTTATTATAATAGCAATTATCATTAATTCACTGTATACTAGTCACACTTCAAAGTGTGTGTTCGTATGTATAAGGTAATCATTTAGTTTTCCTAGCCATCCCATCCTGTGGACAATGTTACTAATTCCATTTCACTGATGAACGAGCAAGGCAGTAAGAAGGACGGCCATTTTCTCAAGGCCACAAACTGAAAAGTGAATTTTCTAGGGGGTAAGTATGAAAAACAAACAAACAAACAAATGAAAAACAAGTAAAAGGGAGGAAAGAGCCAGTCTCGTGGTTCAGACCTGTGGTCCCTACTACTTGAGAAGGGAGAGGCAGGGGGAGATCACAAGCTGATTGCCTGCCTGGACTACAGAGTGGGGCCAAACAGGCTAGACCTGTTTCAAGACAAAGAGTTAGAAGAAAAAGGGTGAGGTGGTATCTTAGTTTAGATGTTCTATTGCTGTGAAGAGACAGCATGACCACGGCAGCTCTTATAAAGAAAATGTTTAACTGAGGGGGCTTGCTTACAGTTTCGGAGGATCAGTCGACTAGTGCCGTGGCAGGGATCCTCACAGCATGGAGGCAGACGTGATGGAGCTGAGAGTCCTACATCTTACAGGCAATAGGAAGCCATCTAAAAGTCACACTGAGGGAAGCTTGAGCAAAAGAGACCTCAAAACCCTCCTGCCCAGTGACACACTTCCTCCTACAAGGCCACACCTCCTAATAGTGCCACTCCCTTTGGGAGCCATTTTCTTTCAAACTACCACAGAGCATTTGTATTTAATCCTCAGTACTGAGACAAAACAAAACAAAACACAGCAGCAACAACAACAATAAAATGTAAGCTTTGGGCCTTTTGGCCACCACTTTGTTTCTATATATCTTCCTTTTTTACAGTTATTAGTATGTACTATGAAAACTTGGCAAGGTGTAGGTCTCAAGTCTCACTAGACTTCTGAAAGAGTCTATGGAAATGCACCCTAGATATATTTTCACTAATGAAACAGTAAGAACCAAGTCAATGTAAGTGAACACCGGTAATTTTATAAAGGTAAGAATTACTTACTGAAAGTCAAACCTCTGAGACCTCTAAAAACCTATTAACAGGTTTGCAACCATTTCTTTTTAGTGGTCTCTTTTTCCATTGGATGCTGAATTTTAATAAATATTCTTTTGCAAATGTAGAAATAAAAGTTGAGTTTGTCATGGTCAGTAGAAATTCCCTGTGTGACTTTGTTGGGTCTATGCATGTGTCCCAAGCTAGCAGAAAGCCTATAAGTCACTCCTTGTATTCATACATCCTGAATTTAATCAAACAGCCCCAAATTCTGCCTACATATTTTTTTAATGTCCTTTGTCCTCAAGAATCCCAGGCAGATTCAGCTGGTGTGTTTACCGGGAGCGCTGGAAGACGGGGGAGGGGTGGTAAATACCCCTCACTTCACAGATTAAAAAAAATAACCTGAGACTCAGGAAAGCTGAACTGTCTATGGTTAAACAATTAGAAGCAACAGATTAAGAATTTGAACCCATGCCTCTGTTCCACGTGCCCTGACTCCCACACTAAGGGAATACTATATATTTCCTACTAAAAGCTGTGTGATGAGAAAAAATAGGTCGGGACATCTTTCCCTACTCCTTACTCTCAGATGTACAGAAAAATATGCAGTCAAAAGTACTTAAGGTTTCCCGACAGTGTGCCCAGCACTGTGTGGGTTCCTTGGCTCACCGGGAGATGTCGCCTGTCCAAGTGTTCCTCCATGATCATGCCCACCGCTGAACACTTTTCCTGCTGGTTATTTTAAAAACTTTTTGGTCTTCCTAAGATCCATTCTGACCTTTTCAAGAGATGACGGGTGTGCAGAGCACAGGACGGCCTGCAGATAGAACGCTCATGGTACTTTGAAGGCCTGGGCTTCTCTTCCTCCAGTTAGAAATGGCCGTGCTAGCCTGGAGCTCACGCGGTGTGGCTCCTCAAAGAGAGCACGCTGAGGCCCGATGGGAAGATGTCCCTCCCAGAACATTTGTAACCAGACACCATATCACTTAGAGCCGCAGCTGAACTTTTAGCCCCCTCTAACCAAACTTTTTTAAGTTCTTAAATTTAAAAAATGAAAAGAAAAAGGAAAACAAAAATAACCCACCATCCTTATCGCCAGTGTTTCTTTGTCCCTGCGTCCGTCGACTCTAATTTTCCATCTCCCATCTCAGTAATCTTCTCAGGGAGTATCCCCCACGGCTCGATCTTCTTGTGGCTGGGGAACTGAAACAGCTCTTCTGTTTGCAGCCAAGGTAGAGAAACAGGGGGCGGTGGCGGAGTGGGGATGTAGCAGAAAGGCTTGCCACAGCAGCAGAAGAAACTTCATGTTGACCCCGTCATCCTAGGAAAGACTAGCTCAGTTTCAATTCCACAGGCTCACGCCTCGGCTGGAAGGTCCCATCAGCTTGCCTGACATCATGCCTTTATTCCATCCCATCTTACATATTTATTCAGGGACACTGGGTGAGTTTGTCCCATGTACAAAGCCCTTCCCTTGGTACTGAGGATGTAATCATCGGTTGGGGTTCTTTTCTCAAAATGCAAGTGGTTCGATGTCAGAGGCAGACCAGCGAAGAAGTGATTGCAATCTAGAGTGAGTTATATGAGAACATACAGAAAGAGAACCTAAGACTGTGGATAAGTTATTTATTGCTGCATAACAAATTGCTCCAGACTTGGCAGCTTAAAACAACAAATCCTGATTATCTCATGCAGAGTCTGAGGGTCAAGGGCTTGTTGCAGGGCTCTGGCTCACAGTCAATCATGAGCTTGCTGTCAAGACGTCAGTTAGGGCTACAGTCATCTCCAGACGCCCCTAGGGCAGAGGATCCTCCCCCAGAAAGGTCACTCACATGACTTATGACCTTTGTTCTCTATCACATGGTCCCTCCTTTGGGTGGATCACAGCAAGGCAACTGCCCCTTCCTCGTCCCAGCATGTAATTTGAGAGATTCGGACAGATGTCAGGCTGTTTTTGTGACCCAGCCTCATAATTGACTTGTTATCACTTCTGCCACATCCTGTTGGTCACAGATCATCCTAGCACAAAGTAAGTGGTACCCACACACACAAAAATGCAAATACCACGAAAGAGCCTTATTAGAGACTACCATGAAAGCTTGCCTTCAGTCTAGGAGCATTAGTCAAACCTCCACCTCTTCCCCCAGCAGATGGCAAGGCTGCAAAGAGAGAGAAAACTCTGCTTCTACAGTTCATAAAAATTCCTGTCAGCTCTTCAGCTTACCAACAAAAAGCGGGTTCTCTCCTACCTCAATCTTTTTCTTTCTCTGGATGCCTAAAATGGCCAAGTGTCTATCTGTTGGCCTCAACCAGTCTGAAAGACAACCATTTTCTGAACCATAAGGAAGGTGATATGAGAATATGCTAAACCCTGGCTAACCCATCAGAAAGAGCTGTATTTAAATTCGACTATGAGCCCTAGATCATAGCACACTGGAGAGGCCCTGTGGTGACTAATCTTGGTTGTCAACTTGATTGGATCTGGAATCAACTAAAACGCAAGCCGCTGGGCACTCCTGTGAGGGATTTTCTTGATCAGATTATCTGAAGCAGGAAGGCTGGTAAGCAATATTTAAACCATGGTGTGTCGTGTTTCCTGTCTCTGACCGTAGAACTGATCCCTTAGAAGAAAGAGCCCTGTATTGCTGAAGTTGCAGTCTGGGCCAGAGTTCCAGGGGATAAAGAAGATGCTTGTGCCACTGCAAGCCCCAGTGTGCAAGCAAGTAAACCCTGGCTGCTTTCTTGTGGAACTCCTCTGTTGCCAGTTTCTTCTTTTCTTCTTTTTCCATCTCCAGGCAGGGGGTACCCAGTCCTGGGCTGAAACTGGCTTGCCTTGGTTTCTAAGAAAGGATTGTTGGATCAACAGGAAATTTGCCAGCTAGTTGTTAGACACAGCCACTGTTGGAAAATAAATTGTGGAAGCTGATGAACTCTGCTAAAAAAAAAAAAAAAAAAAAGCAAGCTAATGAATACCTGAAACGGATCACTTTGTAGTTGTTTGGTTGTCTTGTACACTCACCTGCGGTTCTCAGGTTATGTCCCTCAGGTGGGAGGATGGACAGTGAGTCAGCAGCCCCTGCACACGGGGCCTTCATTCCTCCCCAGCAGAAGCTGTCAAGGGCATGCTCCATTTCCCCACGGGGGTTTCTGTTTTTGCACTTGAACCCCACTGTCCAGGCTTATGGGACAGTGAATTCTCTTCAAGCACTTTGCTTCTTGACCTGTGAACTCGCAAGTGCTGTGCACTTGTTACAGAAACAAATACTAAGAACTGCTGACACCCTCTATAGAGTCTATCTCCATCGTTCTCTTTTCTCTACTCTACTCCTCCTACTAATAAAGTTCTTCTTTTCTACTGAATGCTGGACTTCTCAATCTCCCATTAATCAAATAATAAGGTCCTATTAATAAGTTCCAACTGAGGAAACATGAGCAGAAGCACTCACTATATAACAACATCCAGGAAACAATCTTCCAATAATGATTTGGAATTTCTTTGCTCCTCCTCTTATCTCTCTTATCTATTATGGTCCTTGAAACATGGATATGACAGCTAGGTATGTAGCTGCCCATGCAGGACTGGAATCCATCATCTATGAATAATGAAATTTTAAGCAAAGAAATACAAAAATAATCAGTTATATTTAACATCAAAAAGGTAAAAATGACTGAAGTAGCTGTGGTTTACAAAGAAAAGGAAGACATTTGAACTCAGATTCTGGAGATCGTCAGCATCGGACACAGACTCCAAATGATCTTTTCATTTCAAATTCATGATATTTTGATTTTATGATTTATGATTTCTTTTGAATTTATGGGAAATATCATCTCTCTTTTACTAGCTGAATCTTTATAATGAGCCCTCCTCACAAGTGTTAAAGTAACCTACTCTTCCTTGACCAAGACTAACACTATTTGGTTTACAAGACAGTTTCCAAAGTCAATCAATCTACCTTCATCTCCATATTCTACACATTAGTGTTTTCTTGTGCAGACATGCTGAAACCATGGACCTTCTGTAATGTTTGACGTCCTAATGTCATCTCTGGGCATGAAGTTTTCTAAAAGATCGCTTGTATCTTAAAAGCTTTTAAACGCTTCTTTCTATTTACGTGACTATGTATTGATTATGATTGATGTTCTTGGGGGCAACTGTGCAAATTATACATGTTTTTCTTCCCACTGCTTTTGTTGCTCATCCAGTCCTGAGCTCACACTTCTCTCATCACAATTCATCAATGGCATCATATTCTTTTCAGTAATCAGTTAACAGAAGGTCGCAATGGCCTTGCGCAGAGATGATATGTGCATTCTATTGTTGACATAGATAAGGGTTTGAACTTGCCTTTCTGGTCAAATCAAAAGAAAGCTGTTATGTATTTGTGATATACTTAGGTGTCAGACATTTGTAATAAGAGACAATTTTAATTTTTACAACTAATACATGAGGCAAAAGTTTTTGTTGCAATTGAGAAAAGCCAATTCCTGGTGAAACAGACAATAAGTAAACTGAAAAGCTACTTGAGAGTTCACAGACCCGTCATCGACCTGGTCAAGTCAACTTAGAAATCTTAGTGGGTTAGAGAAATGTTTCTTGTGCAAGATCAATTGGTGTTGGAGGGGGAAGATGGAAGGCCTTGTTGCATGAGCACATTGAGGAAGTCAGCTGGCATCAGCAAGGTATTCTCACACAATTAGCAGGACCACTTCTAGACTCAACAGTCTATGGGGCTGAAGGATGGGTGGCGACAGCGACAGTTCTCTCCTTATACCGGGTTAGCTTAGTAATTCTTCACTGGTTACTGTGGCATGAGAGTGACACATATCCAATGATAAGTACACAGACAGCCACTGGTATGTGAAGATATTACATCTTACTGTTTGGAGAAAATCCTTTTGTGGTAATGAGGAGAGCCTGCCTCATAGAAGAAACTTCCTTGTCTGTTGTTCTTCATGGCACCCAGGTCTACTATCTAAGAGTTTCTTCCATTTTAGCCACTCCTAATTTAAGGAGGGGGAACACATCCTCTCTGGAGATTGCATAGCCTTCAAAGCCCACCTCTTACTGATAACCTTGGGTTAAATCTCATTGCTATCATGAACAACTTACTGTGGTCCATGCTTGTAAGTTCCCTAACTGTACATTTTCTTCACAAAGCTGATAGACTTCTAATTTATTTGCCTGTAGTCAGCTTCTTTATCATAAAAGCTCTCAGGTATGATTTATATTTTTCTTTTCATCCTTACCCCTGATCCATTTCTTCATGGCCTTAAGGCCATCTAGCCCATCTAGCTTAGACAGCGGGAGACTTCGCTCCTGATTTGAGCTTAGATGCAAAAGTTGAGTCTAATTCAATCTTATTCCTTACTATTTGAGTTTTAGAAGCAGTCAATTTTTCCAGCTTTTCAACACCTCTCATTTCTGATGTTCAGTTTTATTTTTGCTTGAAAACAAGCCAATTCTTGCTTGAGTTCATCTACCCTTTTGCAAATTGCTACCAACATTCTGTTTTCTAACCCTTTCCCTAGATCTAAAGACCCAGCATGTGCTTGGCCTGTCTTCTAAGTTGTATCAAGGGGCAATATCATCAAAGGATTTTGCCACTGCCTAACGTATATGCATCTTCCCAGCCTCCAACGTCCATTCCACAAGGGTTCCTGCCCTTGTCGCTGAACTGTGCTATACACTTTATGTTTGTGTTGTGGCAATATTCCAGCTAGAGTTAGGGCAACTGCAACTGCTATGAAGATAAGCCCTGAAATCTCAACAGTATAATACCACAGACTTTGATTCCTTATTCACTGAAATCTGATTAGGGAAGAGGCTCAACTCCCTGCAGCCATTTGGGGAACTAGGCTGATGAAAGCCATGCCATATTCATCCTGTGACTTCAGGTTTATACTGAATCACCAGCCAGCTCGTAGATGGAGGGAAAAGATTATACGCTGGCTGCTGAGAGGTCTTCATGGCTTAAATGCAGAAATGGAATCTATTCCTTTTGGCCCTCGACCTACTAAAAAACTAACTTTAAGTAGAAAATAAAAGAGTCAGTGTAGCTGTGTCCAAGAGAAAAATAAAATGGATGGGAAATACTGTCTCACTTCTTAAATTTTCTGACTCTTCGTCTTTCATAAAGGACATTCTAAATTTTAATGTGATGATTGCAAATGCTTTTAGTCAAAGGGATTCGTGATCTTGGTCCATCTATTTGGAAAGTACCTCTTTAGGTAGTTCTTAGTACTCTTAGGCTCATAGCCTGGAATGTGTCTCATGGAGAACTGTGTTTATTCCATTGCTTTGTAGAATTTCTTTCTGGCACTGAATAATGACATCTTTTTGACAGAGAGATTTGCCTTTATAATAAGACACTTTAGGTAGCACTGATACTACATGACAATGTTTTAAAAGACAGACAGTTATTAC